TGAACAAGCAAAGATTTGTGAATAGCTTTCTTCCAGCTGAGAACTGGCTTGACACTTGCCACTTTGCAAAATTAAAAAAAGCAGGCGCGGATTACTAATTTTTGGCTGCCCTTTCATCAAATTAAAAATTTTATTTTGGAAATGTTTTTCTTCCATTTTGTTTTAAAATAAACATGGTGCTGTTTAAACAAAGTAAAAAAACCTTAAAAACCTGCCCCCCCCAATAATTACATACTTAATGCTGATTACATTGGGTCTGTGCTCTCCGTATTTCTTCAGAAGAGTTTTATGTCCACTGATCAGTGGGGCCTGTTAGACTCTTTTTTCCATTATGTTATCCACCCTTCAGTGAGTTCTATACTCAAATCTCTTTCCTCTTGTCATTTTGGATGCAGTCCACAAAGTCCCAAGTCCTAGCTTCTGCCTCCTTTTTCTTTGCTGGAGTTTCCCCTCGCACTGAACTTTGTGGCTTGTGATCTTCCCCAGGTAGGTAACATCTCATGTTCCTGGGACTCCTTACTCCACTGCAATTATCCATTTCTGTACTTTGTATCCAACTGGGTTTTTTAATTTATTTGGGGGAAATTCATTCTTTCATGCCTTAGGTTGCTCATCCTGTTTCTTCTCTTACTGGAAGGCAAGCATATGTCTATGATCAGAAGCACACACAGCAATCAATGCTACTTTGACTAAACACTACGCCCTCTAGGCAGTCCTGCTCTCACCAGCTAGCAAAATTCTCTCCAAAAATAACACCTACCCTTGGACTTGAACTGGGATTCTCAAGAAAAACTAAGGCATATTAGGAACTGAAACCTCATACAACGCAGCCAAAGAGGTACAACTGTTACAGAATAACATAAATAAAGTAGGGATCGCATACAGTGGCACTATAGCCCCGATGAGAGAAGGGAACAAAGAGAACAAGATAAGATGCAGTGGTGGAGACATGCAAAACATTGATCTCTGCAAGAGCCACCACTCAGCTGTACCTGACCAGCTCCACCCCTTCAGCTCTAGCCAGTGGCTTAAGACACAATTACAAGACACGATGACAGACCCAAGGAAAAATGACTTAATTCTTAAAAATTCTTGATTCATTACACAGAAAGAATTTTAATTCTGGAAAAAATATGCAATGGCTCTGAAACAATTCCTGAGACAAAAAGTACCTACCAAATTCAAGACTGTATGAAATTACAGAAATTATGTTGAGTACCAACTCTAACACCTGGATAAAACTTACAGTGCTACAACTGGAACCAAGAAGAGAATCTGCTCCCAAACTTAATAGAAGGATTTTTGTTGTTGTTGTTGTGATTATCAGAGGCAAATACAACCTCAGAAACACGCAGCTCTGGAACCTGAACTGCTGTATGGGCTGTATGAGGTTTTATTTCCATTTCTGCATATTCATATACACTCAGGTCTCTAATGATATTAATTTCAATAGTTTGACTATTAATAATGAACTTAAGGAAAAGAAAGATGTTTGCAGCTTTGAAGATTTGAACATGAAAAATCTCTTATTAATATAATTAACCCCTTCACCCCCAATTGTGTATTTATATAAACACACACATATATATGAATATATGCACACACATCCTTATTTTGTACTAATTGAATAAATGCCTCCATGTTGCTGCTACATATGATCAAGAAGCAAATGACAAAGAAGAGAAAGAGGAAACACAGGCTGGCATTCATACTGAATGGCATTTAAAAAAAAAAGAAAAAAAAGAAAAAAAGACAGTCACATTCCAACTAAATGACCCTTTTACATCTCCAGCCCCATCCCAAGTACTGCTATCTAGAATCGACCTCACAAAAATGCTATTCAAAAAAAGAAGCTTTTGACTAGAAGTCAAAAGTAATTCCGAGTAACTTAACATCAGGTTTTACCTATACATATGCATACACACACAGAGCCTTTACCAAGTGTCAACGACATTTTAACAGGTATTACAACACTGCTCGAAGAACATGCTTGATACTTCAGAAAATGACATATAAAAACCTCATACGTGTAATATTCCATCAAACCAGATGACTGCTTACAATTTTGATGTTACAGTGATGCAACTGGTTAAAGAAACAATACAGTTAAAGGAAATTTGCTATAATTTTAAAGCATTAAGTTGTTTTTAGTCAGTGACAGCAAAAACACAAGAATAAAACTAATATTTTATAGAACAAAAAAAATAAAATAGAGGTAGAGTTTCTGAAGTTTCACCTAGAGCATTATCTAGGAGATTTTTTTGTTTCTTTTTTGTTGGTATGGTTCCCACCAAAAGCAAGTGAACTTAAACTGCAGAAAATACTAATTCTGCAATGTAAGAATCTGACTTAAAATTATCTGCTAGTTTTTTTTGTAGAAAGGCTTTCGGAAGCACAGTTAATGTGTATGTGTTCAGTTTATGAAGTGCGTAGAGTTCATGGCAAGAAATAATCTGCTGTAGACAGTAAGAATTATGTTCCAAATCAAGCCGCTCCAGACTGTTCCTTTTTCCTCTCTAAAGTGCTACTGAATAGCACAGTTGTTACAAACATGAATTCAAATCCAAGAATTCAGCAAATATCTGTTCCTCTGCCATATTTTTGCTGGTATTAACACACATACAGTGCTTTTGGGCCCTCTGCTAAAACTATACTGCAAAAACAGCCAACAAATCGTCACTGTTTCTTAAAAGTCTTAAACCTCAGTCTGACATCTCTGAAAAATTCCAGTTCAATATTAATCTAGTATTCACTGCAGTGTAGCTGTTTCATTATTATTACAATCATGACTATCCTCAAACCTCACAGTAAATTTTACATTAAGGTTTACTAGGGATGCTTTTACACAATAAAAACATCTCAACCAAAAAGACAAGGAGATAGTTCTGAGTATTCTCTTCTTCATGCCTTCAGTCAGTTTGTTATTCTTGGCAGAAAAGTCCCGTGTCCCCGTCTCCCATCTTTAAAGCAATGTAATTAAAAGCTTTCTGGCATTCTGAGAGAAAGAGGCTCAGAACTGCTTAAAGCAACCTTCTGATTTCTTCATGGCAGCTGTCTCAAGCAGAATTTTTAGTCAAGCCACTTGCTACCTACAGCATTGGTGTTCAACAAAAATGAAGGGCTTAGAATAATAAAATAGGGGTAATTAAAAAAAAAACCAGCATTCACTTCTGTTGACTCATGCCTGGCAACACAATAGCATTAAACAGAAAGCCATTTATCACAACTTACCTCCCCCTGAGCTATCTCTTACAAACAATACAATTGCTTTGAACCTACTTCCACATCCAAATTACTTAACTGCTCTATAATACTTATATTTACTCCACACGGATTTTGTATCAAGCTGACTTTACAGACCAGAAGCTGAATTTTTCTTAGGACCACCTATGCCCAAAGCAACACAGAAGAAATGCTACCCTTCTCCATCTGCAGAACAAATGGCTTTCCTTCCTTGCATTTCTAGCATGGTTTCTCAAACATGGCTATTCTCTCTGTTTTCCAAGAGTTCTGAAAATTAGGATAATCCTTTACAAATATCTCCAAATCTTAAGAAATGTAGATGATCACTTTGCTATCACTTGTCATCCATCTATAGATTAAATCCCAGACCTCCGTATGGAAAGAGCATAAAGACACAAACAAACAAAAAATCTAAGCCTGAGAGTATTAAAAAAAACCCATAGATGTGGATCACCTGAATATTTTACCATTTACAGAAAGTGGTACTAGAAGTAGGCCATTTAAAACAAAACAAATACTAAGGGGTTTCATTAGGGGGTTTTAAACATATTTTGTCTTGTTTAATTTTAATTCATCATTGATTCTGACAAAAAAATACCTTCTTCCTGACTAAATTGCAATGTGAATTTGCAGATTGATTTTTCAAAGTGGGGTTGGAACATAGCTGCATGTCTTACTAACATAAGTGATAGTTCATAGTATTTGGTAGCTAGAAGGTTTTTTATTTATACTGTTACGAGTAAAGCTCACAAGTCTGCCACGTATTGTTGCTGTTAAAACAAAATGCGAGTTCTTGGAAGAAGGTAACACTATAGAAAACAACTCAATTATGCTCCTCTCTGTTTAGGAAGAGTTAAGAATATTCAAAATATGTTTACTTTGGTCTATGAAAAAAAAAACAAAAAAAAAAGCGGGGGG